CAAATTCCTATATTAAAAAAAGAACAAAGATATCAAATCAATAGCCAAACTTTCCATCTTAAGACACTTGAAAAACAAGAACAAACTAAAGAAACAGAAGCAGAGAAATAATAAAGACTAGAGAGGAAATAAATGAAATGGAGAACAGAAAAAGAATATGCTAATAAGGCAGGCCTTGTCAACATAACTAGATAATCATTGAAACCAAACATCTGTTCTTCATAAAGTTAAACAAAATTGACAAACCCTTAGCTAGGCTGACCGTGAGACTACCTGAATTACTAAAATCAGAAATGAAATAGGGGACATTACTGCTAATCCTAGAGAAATAAAACTGATTATAAGGAAATACTAGATATAGTTGACCCTTAAACAATATGGGTTCAAACTGCAGAGGTCCAATTACATGCAGATTTTTTCTCTTTGATTTGGATAGAAAAATACAGTATTTGTGGGATGTGAAATTCACATTCACAGAGGGCCAACTTTTCATATGTGCAGGTTCCACAGGGCCCACTGCGGGACTTGAATATACATAGATTTTGCAATATGTGGGGGTCCAGGAACTAATCCCTCGCATATACCAAGGCATAACTGTACAATTCTATGTCAACAAATTAGATAACTTGGATGAAATGAGCAGATTTCTAGAAAGACACAAACTACTGCAATTGATACAAGAAGAAATAGAAAATGTGAATGGACCTATACTAAATGAAGAGACTGAATTTGTCATAAAAAAAATTCCATAAAGCAACATCCAGGCCTGGATAACTTCACTGGTGAATTCTATCAAATATCTAAGGAGTGAATGCTGTTCCTTTACATACTCTTTCAAAAAACTAAAGAGGAAGGACTGTTTCACAACCTATTCTGAGGCCAGTAGCACCTTAATACCAAAACCAAAGACATACCTAGTTCATGGATAAGAAGTCTTAATATTGTTAAGGTGGCAATAATTCCCAGATTAATAATCAAGCAAATAACTATCAAATTCTCAGCTGCCCCTTTTAAAGAGATTGTCAAGGTAATAAAAAAATTCATATGGTTTTCAAGGGATACCAGAATAGCCAAACAATCTTGAAAAAGAACAGTAGGGGAGGACTCACACTTTCCCATTTCAAATCTCATATCAAATGTGCTGTTATTATAAATGTGTGCTATTATATAAGATCAGACCTAGAGATCAGTGGAATAAAATTAAGAGTCCAATAATCATCCCTTAATTTTTGGCCAATTTTTGACAAAGGTGCTAAGAGTATTTAATAGTGGAAAGAATTGTTGACAAATGGTGCTGAGTTAATGAAAGAGACACATGTGAAAGAATGAAGTTGGACCCATACCTCACACCATATACAAACATTACCTAAGAATGGACCAAGGAGCTAAAAGTAAAGAGCCAAGACTATAAGTCTCTATATAAATTTATACAGGGATAAATCTTCATGACCTTGACTAGGAAGTGGTTTCTTACATATGACACCAAAAGCACAAACAACACAAGAAAGAAAATATCAGCTGGACTCCTGGAAAATTTTAAACCTTTATTATTTAAAGGACTCTATAATGAAAGTGAAAATACAATTCATAGAATGGGAGAAAATTTTTGCAAATCATCTATCTGATAAGGGACTTGTGTTAGATTGTATGAAGTATTCTAACTCAACAATAAAGACAAGTAATTCTATTAAAAATGGACAAAATAGGCTGGGCACGGTGGCTCAAGCCTATAATCCCAGCACTTTGGGAGGCCGAGGCGGGTGGATCACAAGGTCAAGAGATCGAGACCATCCTGGTCAAGAAGGTGAAACCCCGTCTCTACTAAAAATACAAAAATTAGCTGGGCACGGTGGCACGCGCCTGTAGTCCCAGCTACTCGGGAGGCTGAGGCAGGAGAATTGCCTGAACCCGGGAGGCGGAGGCTGCGGTGAGCCGAGATCGAGCCATTGCACTCCAGCCTGGGTAACAAGAGCAAAACTCCGTCTCAAAAAAAAAAAAAAAAAAAAAAAGAAAAAGAAAAATGGACAAAATAATTAAAAATACATTTATCCAAAGAAAATATATTAACAGCCAATAATCACATGAAAAAATGAAAAGATGCTTAATTTTATTACTCGCTGAGGCTAATGCAAAATAATACCAAGATGAGATACCACTTCAAATCCACTAGGACTGTGGGTATCAAAAAATGAACAATAACAAGTTATTAGTGAGGTTGTGGGGAAATTAGAACCCTCCTACATTGCTTTGGGTAATATAAAATGGTGCAGGTGATTTGGATAACAGTTTTGGTATTCCCTCAAAAAATTAAACATAGAGTTACCATATGATCTAGCACTTCCATGTCTAGGTATATACCCAAAAGAATAGAAACATACATCCACATAAAACTTATTCATAAATGTCCATGGTTGTATAAACCAGATTCAGAGGTCACATATATTTCCATTTATGTGAAATGTCTGGAGTAGGCAAGTTAATGGAAATAGAAACTAGATTAGTGGTTATCGGGCTATTGGGAGGAAGTGGTAATGGGGTGTAATGCTAATGGGGTTGGGGTTTCTTTTGGGGTTGATGAAAATGTTCTGCAATTATACAGTGGTGATGGTTGTACAACTTTATGAAAATACTAAAAGCCACTGAATGGTACACTTTAAAATGGTGCATCATAATGTGTCTTAGTCTGTTTACATCACCATAAAGGAATACCCGAGGCTAGATGATTTATGAAGAAGAGAGGTTTATTTCACTCATGGTTCTGCAGACTGTATAGGAAGCATGGCATCAGCGTCTGCTTCTGGTGAGCACCTCAGAAAGCTTCCAGCGGTGGCAGAAAAAGAAAGGGAATCAGTGTGTCGCATGGCCTCAGATGGAGCAAGGGAGAGTGGAGGAGGTATCAAGTTGTTTCTCACCATCAGATCTGGAGGTGGGAGGTAATACAGGTAACACAGGGAGAAGTCACTCATTACCAGGAGGACTGCACCAATCCATTCATGAGGTGTCCACTCCTATGACCCAAACACCTTACTTGGATCAGGCCTCATCTCCAACATTGGTAATCAAATTTCAGTATGAGATTTGGGGGAGATAGATATCCAAACTATATCATATGGTGATGTGACATGTCAATAATATCTTAATTTCAAAAAAGGTGTGACCAGGCAGGCAGGTTGCTCATGCCTGTAATCCCAGCACTTTGGAAGGCCGAGGCGGATGGATCACCTGAGGTCAGGAGTTCAAGACCAGCCTGGCCAACATGGTAAAACCCTGCCTCTACTAAAAATACAAAAAAATAGCCTGGCATGGTGGCAGATGCCTGTAATCCCAGTTGCTCAGGAGGCTGAGACAGGAGAATTCCTTGAACCTGGGAGGTGGAGGTTGCAGTGAGCTGAGATGGTGCCACTGCACTCCAGTCTGGGTGGCAAGAATGAAACTTCCTCTAAAAAAAAGAAAAAAGATGTGACCTTTTAGCCAAAGCTCACTTTGAGACATTCTTAGTACTATTCAATATGGAATTTCTTTCCTCATAAATGATGAAGTCAGGCTCATTTTAAAAGTACAGCTGCTGGTAGTAGTGACTTTATCTATTATCTGTGTTTATCTATTTAAATGGTATATGATAATCCATTTAGATGGGATTTAGTTATGTAATCATCAGTTATCTGCCTAGAGAATTGTAGGCAGTGTGACAGTGGCAATACCTTAGTTGTGGCAGCAAGACAGGTCTGGATTTGATAACTAGCTTTGCTATTTGTTTCCTGAGTGACCTTAAATAAGTTACTTACCCTCTCCTTCAATTCAGTGATAATAACAAGTACCCGATAAAGCTATTGTCACAATTAAAGCCACCAGCAGAAGGCTTGACACATTTAATGTCCATGAAATTAGTCTTTTGCTTTAAATGTTTGAATATGATATTTGTCACATTTCCTTTAGAGGTAAACTGATCGTGTCTGGGAAAACGCCAATTAAAAAAAAATTCTCTGACTCTTTTTGTAGCATAAAGTATTTGGGGACAGAACATCCATAAGCATTTCCATGTTTTCCTATTTTTGTTTCTGAATATGGTGTTTATCTTCTCTATGCTACGGTTGAACTCTGAATGAATTTAGTGTTTGTTTGCAAAGGTGATCTCCCTGGGTATTTGCAGCAACTTAATCCTCAGAAGAAAGAAATGTCATTGCCTTGTATCCTGTGTTGATCCCAAAACTCATTTCCTTGACATCAGGCATGTTTGGATTTGTTCATTTCTTTTAAGAAGAAAACTCAATTTTGGATTAAAAATGTTAGTATGGACAAATTTGTTTTTCCAGGCTTTCATTCAGACACCAGTTGAGAATATACTTCCTGCTTCTGGAGAGAAGTTAAGGAATTTGAAGAGACATTAACGACTAATTAACTTAATTTATCATTTTGTATATAAAGACATTGAATTTTTGAGAAGGGAAGTGATTTGCCCAGTCACCCTGCTAGTAAGGGGCTCATTTGGCACTATAAGAGTAGAAACTTTGGGAGGGTATAAAGGGTAATTTACTTTGATTTTAAAAGGTAATTTTACTTTGATTATTTACTTTGTGTTGACACTCTACATTTACCATCCAATTTAGTTTTTATAGCAATACTCTGTGGTTGGTCAGTAATGGAACAGGGACCCAACCTTGTTTCAGGGTTCTATGGCTGCCAGTCATTACACTGCAAACCCCTGGCCCCTTCCCTAATCTTTTTGCTTGTCTATGAAATAAGAGAAATTTTAGCTACTCCTGAGTGGCTATAAGGATTAAGTAAAATATTAAAGCATATGGGTATTGATAAAACAGGAAAGAAAAGAAAATAAACATTCAACAGGTACTGCACATCTGCTTTTGTCCTCAGATTTGACACCTTCCTCTAGTGGCCATGTGGGCATAGGGCACTGGTCCCTGCTTCCTGTTGCACAGATCTCTGTTTTGTCTATAAAGCACCATGGTTAATTTGTTTTACATTTTATTCTCTCCTTCCAGCTGAATCCTTCAAGGAATTTGCTGAGTTGCTCAATGAAGTAGAAAATGAGAGAATGATGATGGTAAGTCACTAACACTGTCACTGAAGCTGAGTTCATGGCTGATAGAGGGGATTTTTCCTGTCCTTTATGCTTGGATTGATCCTATACTGTTTTGATTTCTGTCAGATAGCTTCTTGGTGCTGTAAAAATAGTTAGGTAATAAATGTGGTTATTCTGTTTCAAGCTTTCACCCTGAGAGTTTGGCATTAGGTAGAGAGAAATTAATGCTCAAATCCCATCTATATTCATTTCAGTGAAAAATAATTTCAGTGGACATTAAACAGAGCCTTCGAACATGTTGACAGAGATTAAGGTGTTTAGTGTTTTTAACCAAATTATCCATTTGTTAATCTTTATAGAATAGTTTCTTTCTCTTTTCTTTTTTATTATACTTTAAGTTCTGGGATACATGTGCAGAACGTGCAGGTTTGTTACATAGGTATACATGTGCTATAGTGGTTTGCTGCATCCATACCCCCATCATCTACATTAGGTATTTCTTGTAATGCTATCCTTCTCCAATCCCCCCCACCCCCTGCTATCCCTCCCCTAGCCCCCCACCCCCCTGACAAGCCCTGGTGTGTGATGTTTCCTTTCCTGTGTCCATGTGTTCTCATTGTTCAACACCCACTTATGAGTGAGAACATGTGGTGTTTGGTTTTCTGTTCTGGTGTCAGTTTGCTGACAATGATGGTTTCCAGCTTCATCTATTTCCCTGCAAAGGACATGAACTCATCCTTTTTTATGGCTGCATAGTATTCCATGGTGTATATGTGTCATATTTTCTTTATCCAGTCTATCATTGATGGACATTTGGGGTGGTTCCAAGTCTTTGCTATTGTGAACAGTGCTGCAATAAACTCTACATGTGCACATGACTTTATAGTAGAATGATTTATAATTTTGGGGGTATATACCCAGTAATGGGATTACTGGGTCAAATAGTATTTTTGGTTCTAGATCCTCGAGGAGTCACCACACTGTCTTCCACAGTGGTTGAACTAATGTACAATTCCACCAACAATGTAAAAGCATTCCTATTTCTCCACATCTTCTCTAGCACCTATTGTCTCTTGACTTTTTAATGATCATCATTCTAATTGGTGTGAGATGGTATCTCATTGTGGTTTTGATTTGCATTTCTCTAAGGGCCAGTGATGAGCTTTTTTTGACGGCTCCAACACTATTTTTTGAAAATACTATTCTTTCTCCATTGAATTACCTTTTGTTGTTTATCAAAGGTCACTTGACTATATTTGTATGGGTCTGTATCTGGGCTATTTCTGTTCCATTGATCTATTTATCTGTTCTTTCACCAATACCACACTGTCTTCATTACTTTCACATTGTAGTAATTCCATTGTAGTAAAAAGCATTGAAGTCAGGTATAAGCTTAATCAATTTGTTTATATCCACAAAATAACTTGCTGGGATTTTGATTGAGATTGCCTTTTGAGATACTAGATATATCTTTTTGATTTCGATTAGGATTTGCTTTCAAGGTACCAGGGAAAAACTGATTATCTTAAAAATATTGACTTTTCCTAATTGTGAACATGGGTTATCTTGCCATTTATTTATATCTTTTTGATTTCTTTCGTCAGAATTTTAGTTTGCTTATATAGAATTTTTACATATTTTGCTAGATTTGTACCTGTTTCATTTTTATAAAGTCTAATTATTTTAACAGCCTAAAAATAATCTTTTTTTGTGGTCCTTAGACTCAGTAGTAACATCATGACCAGCACCAGCAGAAAATTGTTGAAAATACTGTTCCTTGTTCCCACCCCAGACTTATTGGAGACTTAAGTGTTCAAATGTCTATGTTGATCAATATTCATTTTTATTGGGGGCATAATGGTAAGATGGGAATTCTGTAGAGAATATCAAAATGGTCTACTTTACCTTTCTCCATCAGATGACTTTTTATATTTTTCTTAAAACTATGTATTCCCACAGCTAGAACTCATTTACCTATAAAACCTCTTTCTTTTCAATAGTGTGGTACTGCCTTCTCAAAATACTGCTCATAGAATCTAGACCCCTAGAGAAGTAGGATTGAAGGCAGAACTCGGAGGTAGGGGAATTAGAGAATTAAGGCTCTGATTCTGGCTCTGTCACTGACTTGTTGACTTCAGATTAATCACTTCATTTTTCTGGGCCCCTTTTTCTTATTTGTAGAGTGAGGAAAATAATTCCCACCTCTTATGAGTGTTTAAAGTGCTCCAAATAATATAGTAAACATGGAAGAGTTTTATAAGGGGAAAAATACTGATTATGTAAGCATGGTTTTTAGTTGTCTTCAGTTACTCACAAGATTCTGCTTGTGGAAATATGACTTGGGAATTTTCTCAGTTTAAAACATTTGCTTTTAAATGTACTAACGGGAGACGAATATGCATGCTTTTCCCGGAGCCTCTTAGATGGCCCCCTTGCTAATACACACTCTACTAAATGTTCTTCTCTGCCCACAGAGTTTGTGGACTACTGCCCATGTTGTTTTCAAAGGCATTTGCCCCCATTTCTTTCAGATAGCACTAGAAAGCTCAGCTGTATTTCTCTTTAGCCCTAGTTGTTTCTCCATCTCTTTTATTTACCCAGTAACAAAGCCCTCACATATTGAAGTAGTATTCATCTTTTGAGATGTTGTTTTTCTCACCCTTCTTGTTGGTACTTTGCCACATGACTGACTCATTTTCTTCTGTGTTTAATTATGTTGTGCCCTTTTGTCCCAACAACTTTCAATCATATATTGAGTGTTTGCTCCCTGTTTCCCACTTAATTCCAGGAATGCTGAGATGGTTAGGCTTAATGAGTGCCTTTCACCCCATGCCAGGAATTCATTGCTTGATTGTAACTTTCCCATTTCCTGGGGTTGTAGCAAAAGGACCCCTCTATCCCAATCTGGATGATTTAGTGGTCTTAAACTGTATTTTATCCTTTCCAAAAGAAGAGTCCAAAATAAGCTTTAGAATATCAGTAAGAAAGTTCACAGCCCTTGAGCATGGCAATTGCCTGTGTCTGGTCATCTCCATAAATGAACATAAATTGGGGAAGGAGTTATGAAGTGAAGTAATGAGGAAGGGCATCCTGTGATGTTCTCAAAGGTATCCTGTTAGGGCTGGGTGTGGTGGCTCATGCTTGTAATCCCAGTTCTTTCAAAGGTGGAGGCGGGAGGATCACTTGAGGCCAGGAGTTCAAGAGCAGCCTCGCCAACATGGTGAAACCCCGTCTCTACTTAAAATACAAAAATTAGCGAGGTGTTATTATGCACCTGTAGTCTCAGCTACTTGGGAGACTGAGGTGGGAGGATTACCTGAGCCTGGGAAGGTCAAGGCTCCAGTGAGCCATGATCATGCCACTGTACTACAGCCTGGGGGAGCAAGGCCCTGCCTCAAAAAAATAAAAAAGAGGGGGGCCTCAAAAAGTGTGTATTGCACACTTCTTGTATGATTATGAAGCTTGCCTAGATACCTTTCTCACTGCAAATGGGGCCTCTGTTGGCAATGTGCAAGGTCTGTCTTTGAAGACTGCCAAAAGTGACCTAAGGAGGCCCCCATAATATTTCAGCCTGTCTTTAGTGCTCTCTCTCTCTCTCTTTTTTTTTTTTTTTTCTGAGACAGAGTCTCCCTCTGTTGCCCAGGCTAGAGTGCAGTGGCATGATCTCGGCTCACTGCAACCTCCACCTCCCGGGTTCAAGCAATTCTCCTGCCTCAGCCATCCAAGTAGCTGGGACTACACGCACCCACCACCATACCCTGCTAATTTTTGCATTTTTAGTAGAGATGGGGTTTTGCCATGTTGGCCAGGCTGGTCTCGAACTCCTGGCCTCAGTTGATCCTTCCACCTTGGCCTTTCAAAGTACTGGGATCACAGGCACAAGCCATTGCGCCTGGCCGTGTTCTCTTTTGATATTTTGTTTATCATCAAAGATTCCTGAGCAATCCTGCAATATTGGACTAAATATCCTCTCTATCTGCTCAACACCTTGTTCAGTGTTACTTTGGTCTTTATTCAATAGGATTCTGATGACACAAACTCACTAATGAGTTTAGGATGTCACTCCTTATGGTGGAGATTCTACCTGAGATAGTAGGTAGGAGTTTTTGTCCCCAGTGAGCTCACAAAATGAATGCAGTGATTAGAAAAGAGATTAAAGGCCAAGTGTACTTAAAGGGGGAGTCATTGGTAGAGTTCTAAGAGATTTAAGAATAAAATAGAATGAGAAAGAAAAAAGAGCAAATCCTCAATGTGACTTTTTTCTACATTCCTAAGTTTCTTTTCTAACAAGAAAATAGTATGATAGCCAATGAGTATCATAGAGAGGAAAAGATTCAGAGTATCTGTTTGTGCTATAAGAGACTGGGAGCAGTGTTGCCAAAGTGCTTAAGGGAAAATGATGCACTACAATTCTAGTAAACCATGGACTACTTTTCTAGACTGAATGGGGGTCAAACATGTAAAAGGCAGTGGCCTTATGGACCCTGTGTGAGACGTTGCTGACACACTTGATTATGCAGGACAATCCCCTTTGGAGAATGAAAAGCCAGCAACTCTGCCATCCTGGGGGTGCCTGAATACGCAAAGGCCCAGCTCCATGCAGTGCTTTAGAAAGCGGTATGTTCACTTCTTATTCAAAGGCAGACTTCTTCAGTGTTTCCCAGTTGGCCACTTTTTACATATTACCTTTTAAACTTAATTAATTAATTAATTAATTAATTAATTTTTGAGACTGATTCTTGCTCTGTCACTCAGGCTGGAGTGCAGTGACATAAGCTCAGCTCACTGCAACCTCCACCTCCTGGGTTTAAGCGATTCTCCTGCCTCAGCCTCTCCAGTAGCTGGGATTACAGACATGTGCCACCATACCCAGCTACTTTTTGTATTTTTAGTAGAGACAAGGTTTCACCATGTTGTCCAGGCTGGACTTGAACCCCTGACCTCAGGTGATCCGCCCAACTCTGCCTCCCAAAGTGCTATGATTACAGGTTTGAGACACTGTGTCTGACCCATATTACCTTTTCTAAACTGCAAGTTGTTTTTCTAATTATATATTGCTGCATAACAACTTTTTCTAAAATTAGTGGCTTAAACCAGGGTCCCCAATCCCTAGGCTGCGGGGTACCAGTTTGTGGCCTGTTAGGAGCCTGGCCACACAGCAGGAGGTGAGCGGCAGGATAAGGAACATTATTGCTTGAGCTCTGCCGGCTATCAGATCAGTGGTGGCATTAGATTCTCATAGGAGCAATCTCTGTTGTGAACTGTGCATGCAGGATCTAGGTTGCATGCTCTTTATGAGAATCTAATGCCTGATCTGAGGTTGAACAGTTTCATCCTGAGACCATCTCCACCTCCCCCTACCCTGGGTCCATGGAAAAATGGTCTTAAACTAATTATTTGTAATTATTTGTAAATTTGTAAAACTATTTGTGATTATTTTGTGGGTTAGGAATTCAGATGGGTCAGCTGAGTGATTCTTCTGCTCCACATGATGGTATTCACCTGGCAGATGAGTTGATACGGAGGGTCCGAAATGGTTTTCCTTAAGTCTGGCACCTTCCAGTGGGGATGGCAGGAAGGGTGGAATCAGCTGGTATAAGACATTGACCAGAATTTGGCCTCTCCTGTTTGGTAATCTCAGGGTAATTAAACTTCTGACATACTGTCTCAAGGCTTCTAGTAGGAGTATTCCAAGAGAACTGGGAGAGAACTGGTGCTGACGTTTTATGACCTAGCTTCAAATGTCACAGAATGTGACTTCTGGAGTACTCCATTGGTTCAAAATACTAACAAGCCCACTCACATTCAAGGTAGAAGAGACATAGACCTCACCTCTTAAAGGAAGTTATGTCAGAGTTTGTGGCCATGTTTTAAGGCCTCTACAATAATAAAGTAGAAAAGTAACTTTCTGTACTGGGCTTATGACACCAGTGGCTTGATTTTGGGTGGTTTTAGTTAAGAAGTCTTATTTTCAATTAAGGAGAGTCATTGGTGTAATTCTTTTTGATGCTATAATTGGTACTGGAGCTTTGATTTCATAACCAAACAAAATGAATCTTTCTATGAATCAGACCTGCATAGAGAAGTCTTTACTAGGGGCTCTTGTAGGTTGGAATTTGTAGACTTTCCTGCCTTTGGCTAATGAGCACAATCAGGGATAAAGAGTATGTTAAGTGTCATACTGGGAGGTAGCTTATAGTACCATTAGGACTCAACGGGGTTTCATAGATCCAGAAGAAGAGAAGAGATGTGATGAGAATCATAGGGTCTGGAGGTGTTAGCAGGCAGGAGGTCTTTTTTTGCAAAAATCAGCAAACTTTGGGAAGGGTTACATGATTTTATAAATCTAGGTGTGTAGCAAACAAGTTTTAGAAAGCCAGCTATAAAAGCACTGGTGATCAGGAGAAATAGAGAATGACTGTTCTCAAGGCAAACTTCTTTTTTTCTTGCCTAGTTTTATATATTTTGCTGGGTGCTGGACATCCTGGATGATAGTGTTAGGAGCTGCAGGAGATCAGAATGCCGGGGTTCACCAGGTTGTTCTCATACAAAGGCTAGCAGTGCCATTTTAGGAGTTTGCCTATTTCGTTGAACCTTGAATTATACCTACACACAGAACAAGAGGCACAAATTACCTGAAAGACATGTATAACCTATGCACTAATGCCCCACAACTTTCTGTACTTTTGGGGTGGTAGGTTGAAAATTGCTTCTTAGATTGGAGAACTCAGATCTTGTCAAAACTGGCTTTTCCCCCTGTTGTCTATTTTGTTATGAAGATATATCTTGTGTATCTGACACCTATGTCTCATATGATGAGGAAACTAGTCTTTTAGTTTTCTGTCTCGTAATCGATAAAAATTAATGCAATGGTTCCCAAAATGCAGCCCTTCAGATGCCTTCTCTAAGGTCTTCCATTTTAGTGATTCTCTCACCACTGAGGTATAAACCCCACTTGTTGCCTTGGACAGATGCAATGTCCTAAGAGGTTTATATAAAGAAAAAGCTTTGTATACCTTTATCTGCCCAAAGAACAAGGAGTCTTCTTTGAATCTGATGTTTTTATATCTCCAGAACGTATTTATTATTGCCAATATTAATAATCCCTGATCAAGCCATTTCTATTAGCTTCTGAGCATTTATATTTAGGTAATTTGAAGGCCTAGTCTAGTATTTTCTGTGATGCTGTAATGCACTCCACATTCTTCAGGTAATGTTCTGGTTTTATGGCACAGGGAGGACTGTAAATGATTTTTCCTTATGCTATCTCTGCACACCCATTTGCCTCTGATGAAATGATTTGCACTTGCTGCAATTGTCCTTTTCTTGTATTGGCCATTCTCTTTCTCTTCTCTTTTTCACCTGTCCTTCAGGTCTCCTGTGTCTTCTGCTGGACAACACAGATATTTATCGATTAAACACTCAGGTCATACTACCATTAAAGTTACAGAGAAATGCCCCTATTATTATTCTCTCATTTCTTCTCAATGCATTTGACTTTCAGAAACAATGTAGAAACAAACAGTAACAAAAACCTACAAATCAACAAACCATTTAACATTTTTCAGGATGGTGTACAAATGAAAATGTCACAGTAATAAGGAATCTTGTATCTGAAACTTGTTAACCTAGAAATTGTTTTGTTTTTTCTTTTTGTCTAGGTACACAATGCTAGTGATTTGCTGATCAAACCCCTGGAAAATTTCCGTAAGGAACAAATAGGCTTCACCAAGGTACATTTTCTGTATATATATATATACATATATATATATATATATATATATATATACGTATATATATATATATATGTATATATATATATATATTTTTTTTTTTAAGCAATTGAGTAGTTGTATGAGTGAGTACTCTTCACTTTAAAAAAAATAAGCACCAATCTGCTGGTGCTTTGCTCTTGGCCTAGTTAGCCTCCTAAACTGTGCAAAATAAATGTTTGTTATTTAAGTCACTCTGTCTATGACATTCTGTTATAGTAGCCTGGACTAACATGATAAAGGAGGAGGGGTGGGGGATTAGTTGCTGTAAGAAAAATGATCAGGCCAGATGCGGTGGCTCATGCCTGTAATCCTAGCACTTTGGGTGGTTGAGGTGGGTGGATCACCTGAGGTCGGGAGTTTGAGACCAGCCTAACCAACATGGAGAAACCCCTGTCTCTACTAGAAATGCAAAATTAACTGGGGGTGGTGGTGCATGCCTGTAATCCCAGCTACTCAGGAGGCTGAGGCAGGAGAATCGCTTGAACCCAGGAGGCAGAGGTTGCTGTGAGCCAAGATCATGCCATTGAACTCCAGCCTGGGCAATGAGAGCAAAACGCCATCTCAAAAAAAAAAAAAAAAAAGAAAGAAAAGAAAAAGAAAGAAAGAAAAAGAAAAATCACGAAAGAAAGTAAGAAAATCTAGAATTGGCCTCTGACTTTGTGGCCAACAGACTCTGTATCTGTGTATAAATCGCTTCTCCTTTTGGTGGTTTTGGTGTTTTGTCTGAAAAACTAGCTATCATTTATCAACTGCCTGCTATGTTGAGCACTGGGCTAGGTTCTTTACGTTCATTCTTTAATCGCAAGAACCTCATGTGCTTCTGGCATTTTCTCATTTCACAAATGAAGTAACTGAGCCTTGGACAAGATAAATAACATGACCAAAGATATGTAGCTAGTGATATAGTTTGGATCTGTGTCCCTACCTAAATCTCATGTTCACTTGTAATTCCCAGTGTTGGAGGTGGGGCCTGGTGGGAGGTGATTGCATCATGAGGGTGGACCCTGCACGAATGGTTCAGCACCATCCCCTTGATGCTGTTCTCCTAGTGGTGATTGAGTTCTCTTCAGAACTGGTTGTTTGAAAGTGTGTAGCAACTCCCCCACTCTTGCTCCTGCTCTGGCTATGTAAGATGTACCTGCTTTCCTTTCACTTTCCACCATAATTTTGTTTCCTGAGACTTCATCAGAAGGAGAAACTGCTATACTTCCTGTACAGCATGCAGAACTGTGAGCCCATTAAACTTCTTTGCTTTATAAATTACCCAGTCTCAGGTATTTCTTTATAGCAGTGTGACTACAGACTAATGTGGTTAGTAAGTATATTGGCCTGGATTTAGACCTAAAGGTCTTTTTAGCTTTCCATTCCATGCTTTTTACATTAAGCGATGGTGTCTAGATCTTTGCTGTCTATTGTGGTAGCCATTATCTACTTAAATAAAATTAAATTAACAACTCAGCTCCTCATTCTTTCTAGCCACATTTCAAGTGCTCAGCAGTCACTTGTGTCTAGTAGTTACTGTGTTGGACAGTACAGATAAAATACATTTCCGTCATTGTGGAAAGTTCTATTAAACAATGCTGTGTGCCAGATAATTTCACATTCCGTTCAGCTTAACCATCCATGTATCTATGATTCTCCAGCATTTGATAAAGGGATGTGAATAATTTTCATTTTGAATCTTTTCAGCTTGGTGTAGGTCTGTTTCATGAGCTCTCAATGTGTATCCACCATGTAGCAAAGGTAGTTTCTTCTACCAGGGCTAAAATACAGCATCTTGACCAAGCATCTAGGTTTTTTTTAGGTCTAAGAGTAGTGGATATTATCTGGAATATTATGACAATCAGTTTGGATCAATAATTTGAAAATAGCAAGTTTTTCTTTTTCTTATTATTTTTGAGTTTTTCTTTTTTTAAGAGACATGAACTCCTGACAATCTTGCCAACTCAGCCTCCCAAAGTGCTGATACTACAGGCATGAGCCACAATGTCTGACCATGAAAGTAGCAAACTTCAAGATGAAAGAGCAAATTAGTGGTTGAGCTCCCACTACCTGCTATCATCAGTCAGGTTGACGTGGTCATTATTAGGTGTTCAAGCAAAGTGAGTTCCCCTGATAGCCCAGCAATACTGGATTCTACTTGTTTCACTGCAGTCTCATTAACATCAATACTTAGCTGAGAGAGGATATGATTGAAGGACAGAAGTATATTTAAAAATTACAAGTGGCCAGGCATGGTGGCTCACGCCTGTAATCCCAGCAGTTTGGGAGGCTGAGGCAGGTGGATCACGAGGTTAGGAGTTCGAGACCAGCCTGACCAACGTGATAAAACCTTGACTCTACTAAAAATACAAAAATTAGCTGGGCGTGGTGGCACACGCCTGTAATCCCAGCTACTCAGGAGGCTGAGGCAGGAGAATTGCCTAAACCTGGGAGGCAGAGTTTGCAGTGAGCCAAGATCATGCCACTGCACTCCAGCCTCAAAAAAAAAAAAAAAAAAAAAAAAAAAAATTACAAGTGAGAATAAAAATAACTACTTGTGGAATATTTTTATTTACTTTCATTCCTTTCTAAGAATAACACTAGAAAAGCAAGGATATGCTATCATGGTTGCCCTCATGTTATCTGAGCAAACAGAAATGAATTTGTATTATGTGCAGTGATGCATTGCTTAGTGTTTTGTTCTGGGAAATGCATCATTACGTGCCTTCTTGGTTGTGTGAATCTCATAGGAGTGTGCTTAACACAAACTGCAATGGTCTGGCCTAATACACAACTAGGCCAGATGGTATAGCCTATTGCTCCTAGGCTACAAACTTGTATGGTTGTTAACTGTACTAAATAGTATAGGCAGTTATAACGCGATGGTAAGTATTTGTTTAAACATAAAAGACGTACAGTAAAAATACCGTATTATAATCTTATAGGACTGTCATTGTATATGCAGTTCATTGTTTAGTGAAACATCATTTTGTGGTGCGTGACTGTACTTTCTGTGCTAAGGATTTAACATATGCTTTCTTCCTTAATTCTCACAGCAAAACTGTGAGGTAGGATTTTTTAATATCCATTGTCTCAATGAAGAAAGTGAGTCTCAGAAAGGTTACATACATGTCTATCTTTTTTCATACTTCTTTGCCAGTAAGGCCGATGTGCACACCTACAAAAGAGACCAACTTAGTATGAGTCATGTCTCCAATAAACTATCTATCTAGAATCCCAATAGTCAAAATGTAGCGTACAGTCTACCCCTATGTGTTATCAATTTATTGCCAATTAGTTCCAAGCCTCTCAATACCTGCTCTGTGATAATGGACAGATTTTCTTTAAGCATCTCACCTTTATAGTGAGCATGCTTTTAAGCTCTCTCAGTAGAGGGAGGTGGAGGGACACTGCTGTGGTGGGGGCGGGGCGGGGCGGGGGGAGGACAGCTGATGGAGCTCTGACCCAGCCACCCACCCAGACATGTGGTACCTCAATCTCCTTGAAGGCTTCATGACCGTACTGTCCCTCAGCTTCCCTCTGTAGACCGCCTATCCCACATGGCCTGCTTGATGGCTGAAGAGTTATCATGGAGCTATTACCACCTCTGCGGGGCCCTCATACATTGAACTTGCACCCTAGGGGGTTCCCACCAAACCAGGATGGCCCTGTCGAGCTCACTCGGAACTCAGTTCTCCCACGTTCTTTTTCTGCCTTCTCTGGTGGTCACTGTTGGCCTACTTTTTTATACTCTGGTGAGTTGCCTCCTGCTTATGTAGTGACTGAACCACCGGGCCAAAGCAGCAAACATTCTGCTATCCAGTGTGTTAAATTACTGCTTCTTCTTCTTCTTTTTTTTTTTTGTGAGACAGGGTGGGTCTCACTCTGTCACTCATGCTGAGGTGCAGTGTTATAATCATGGCTCACTTCAGCCTCGACCTCCCCAGGCTCAGGTGATCCTCTCACCTCAGCCTCTTGAGTTGCTGGGACTACAGGCACATACCACTATGCCTGGCTAATTTATTTGTAATTTTTATACAGATGGGGTTTCACCATATTGCTTGGACTGGTCTCAATCACCTGAGCTCAAGCAGTCCTACTGCCTTGGCCTCCTAAAGTGTTAGAATTACAGGCGTGAGCTACCGTGCCCCGCCAAATTATTCCTTTTCAAGTGAGGTCTAAACCCCATTAAAATTTGCCTTATTTGTGTACTTTTTCTTAGCCTTAGGGTACCATATAGAGTTTTCTTATATCTTAATTATTTGTAGTGTTCTCTATCTCCTGATTGGACTTAGCCTGATACACTCAGCATTGCTGCTAGCTGGCTTTGAGAGTTTACTGGTTATGGTAGGTGCTATATTAGACTTTTATGTATATAGATCCATGTTCCCACTTGAACCCCAAAACAATCTTGTAAAGGTTATTATCCCCCATTAAAAGATGGGGACACCAAGTTCAGTGAGGTGTAGCCTCTAAGGTCATTCAATAGCTTGGATGTGAATTGAGTTCTGGTTGTAAGTCTAGGGCTTATTTCACTTTACAGGAAACATCACTTCTCTCTGAACCTCAGTTTTCTCATGGCTCCTGACAACAAGAACAATGGGCAAATATTCCAAATCTGATCTTCCGCTAGTTTGAGATTTTAAGGGTAATTAACTAAATATTTATACGCTGAGTACTAGAAATGCGGTAGACAGAATTTGTTGTGCTGTAAGTGTAAAATATACCCTGGATTATGAAGATAGTAAGAAGAAAAAGAAAAAGTTACATTTTATTTTTATTATATGTTTAAATGATAATATTTGGTCATCTATTTTTTGTTTTTGAAATGTGACAACTAAAAATTTTCAAATTACATGTGGCTTGCATTATCTTTCTATTGGATAGCACTGAAATAGACAAAGAAATTACATTCTGTAGATAGCTCTTCCCCATTTGGTAGATAGTTTATGGGCTTTCTGGGGCTTCAGAATCAA